GCTGGCTTGAAAACAGGAAGTGATTAGGCAGTCACAGTTTAACACAAATAAGGAGCAAGTACAATAAGGACACGAGAAGATAGAAAACTGTAGCAGAGAAAGTTTAGAGTTCAGGGTCTTAAATGTAAAGTGTTTCCAAGTGTTTGATCGTCAATCTTCCAAAAGTGGCCATGCTTAGGAATAACTAACATGGAGTGTAGCAGACATTTTGTTATTGTTGAAACCGGAAAGGTAATGTCAGAGAATTAGTCCTTGGAGAAAAAGGAGGGCAAGTTTTGTTTTAAATTCTGTAAAGCCGTTGCAAACTTCATATAGTAGGCATTCAGTTAACATCTATGAGGTGAGTGGTGGGTGGCTGAATCGATTGATGATCGAACATGATAGCATTTAACACGGTTTTATGCTTCCCCATCTTGTGCCCCTACTGAACCATCAATACTATCAGGTCTTTGCCTCTAGATTCTTTTCCCACTTTGGTTTTTTGGATGTTCATTTTTGTTTTGTTTTGTTCTGTGTCGTTTTGAGACAGGGTCTCACTATGTAGTTGTGGACTAATCTGCTAATTCACTAGTAACCCAGACTGGTCAGAAATATTGGGCAATCCTCTTGTTTCAATTTCCTGTGTACTAGGATTGTAAGTATGTGTTATCGTCCCCCATATAGGGAATAATAGGTGTTTAACTCTGGGTTTAAGTGAATGGAAAAAAAAAAAAAAAAGCAGAACCACAGAGAATAATGAAAAGGAAAAAGTTTTTTAAAAAAGAGTGAACCAGAGGCTAAAGTCCTCAAGGGAAATGGAAGAATATTTAATAGGTTTGTTGAAATTTTAATAGTATTTGTTTAAAATAAGCAAAAGATGTTAACTTCAAAATAGAAATATAAAGCCAGGCTTAGTGGCATAGGCATATAATTTCAGCACTCAGGAAGTCAAAGCAGGAGGGCTCTATGCGTTCTAGACCAGCCTGGGCTACATAGTGAGATTTTATCTCAAAGAACTAAAACAAATATATCTAGATATATATCTAGATATATATCTAGATATATATATATACATATCTAGATATATATACATAGATATGTATATGTATATATATAAACAATATATATTTTTATATATTGTTTATATATATATGTAAACAATGAGAGGAGAGGGTTTGAACTTGGAAACTGTAATTTTCTGCACATACTACCCATTTGTAGTCACCCACCCCTAACAAGCTGCCCCTCCTCAAGTTTTTTAAGACATACCTGGCCTGGCCTTATTCTCATATTGTTCTCCTGCCTAGAGAGCTTCAGTGCCCCTTCTGCCATCATCTGTGGGCTAGGCTTTGTGATTTTTTTTTTTTTTGTCTTTACATGCAACATCAACAATCAGAGCTCTTAAGTATAATTTTTAGCAAGATCACTACTTATAGATCTCTAGGGGCTCCCATTTGACTGTTAAATCAAATGAAACCCAAGTAGTTTTCCACGTCCACCATCCAGCTTTCTGTAACCTGAGGTTTATTCAGTGTACAAAATGCCTTACCTTTTTCAAAGCTTCTGATTACTGTTTTCTCTACCCATCTAGAGCCCGTTTCATCAGAACTCCCTGAAGAATGATTTTCCCTACAGCTATAATGAAGACAACTGTTCCAGAAACACCTCCCTTCCTTTCCTTCCTCTCTCCTAATTACCAGTCATGAACATTATTGGTATCTTCTTTTCTTGGGTATCATTCCATGTTCCTCTATTAATTTTGTCATGGAAGTTGCTCTCAAGTCCCTGTCTTTCTTGTGTCAGTGGCCTGTGAATGGCTGTAAAAGCCCTGATCAGCTTTCAGTATATTCTACACTACAGTTCACTTACATCTAAGATGAAATTTTAATTGTGTCCCCAACACACACAGCATACACACTGCACGTACACACGCACACATGTAATATTTGAGACATTTCACACACTCTACATAAAAACCCAGATTCATTTATTTTTGTCTTTATGCACTTCCACTTGCTGTTTGTAGCCTGCATGTCACATGCACTTTCTTTTCTGAGCCTTCTCTCCTCTTAGTGAGCTCCATAACGATCCCTATAGCTAACTCCCACAACTTTATTCCATAAGCCTCCAACTTTCTCTTTTTCTGCTGTGCTTTTTGTTTTGTTCTGCTTAAACATTTCTAGGGATCAAATTCAGGACTTAACACCTGCTACCGTCTATGCTTTAAAAAATCTTTAAATTTTTATTAAATTTATTTATCTTATTGGGTGGGACACACATGTGCCAGAGCATGTTTGTAAAGGTCAGAGGACAACTTTCAGGAGTTGCTGCTATTCTTCTACTATATGGGTACTGGGGATTGAACTCTGGTCATCAGGCTTGCCTGCAAATGTCTACCTACTGAGCTTTCTCACTGGATTTAACAAAACTTTTATTTCAAAATAATCACATATTCACAGGAGGTCACAAAGGGAAGTCCTGTACACTTTCCTCATGCTAGGTATAGTGTAACATCTTGTACAACTACAGTACATCATCAAAATAAAGAAATTATTTTGGTATAGTTTATTGACCATTCAGATCCCTCCAGTTATTTATATATTCACATATGAGTGTGTATATGCAATTTTATCATATCTGAAGCCTCACATGACATCTACAATCAAAATACAGAAGTACACCATCACAAGGTTGTGTCATGCTATCCCTGTACTATCACAGCCATCTATAACCCCTGGCAACGACTAATGTCTTCCCTCTGTTGTTAAGATTTTACAATGTTATATGAATGGAATCACACAGTGTTATTCTTTGGAAACTGGCCTTAGGTATCCATCATACTTTCCTTATAATCTACCCCAATCCCTTGCATATAATAATGGCTTGTTCCTTCCTATTGATGCACAGTCCTCCACTGCTATGGCTGCTGGTTTCTTGAACCATTTACATATTAAAATTTGTTTATTTTTTTCACTTGAAGCTATTATGAGTAAAGATAACACATTCATACATTCATGTTGAATGTGTATATTTACACATTCATGTATAAGTTCCTACATGAAAATAAGCCTTAACTTTCTGGAATGAATTGCCCAAGAGTGCAATTGCTAGCTCATATGGCAAGTCTATTTTTAGTTTTGACAGGAACTGCTAAATTATTTTCGAGAGTGGCTATACCATTTTACATTCCCACTAACGAGATATGTGTGATCTAGTCTTCACATCTTCACCAGGAATTATTATCACTGTTTGCTTCTACCCATGTTGAGACTGACTCCTATATAGTGCTTCTCATCTTTCAGGACCTAAAGAGCCTTTCTAGCTCTATAGAGAGAGCCTTTTCTAACCTCACCCGGACAAGCTCACTTCTCTCTCCCTTGTGCCGTCTTTGATATTTCATTTATCATTGCATTTTAATTTTTTATTGTCAGAGTCTGTGTATTCTACTCTATTCTAAACTATGTGATGATACAGAGCATGCCAGATTCCTCTTGATTCCTGGAGCATCTGGTCCATGTTGGTTCGAATCTGAGCACATAGTGGGTGCTCAGTGAGCGTATGCTGAGTGAAGGAAAGAATGAGTGGAAAGAATGATAATCTCCCCCCCACCCTGGCTAGAAAGCTTTTTAAAATAGACATCACGCCTTCCTCTGTGTCTCACAGCAGCAGTTAATAGGGTGCTCTGTGTAGATGCTCAATAAATGTCGCCTAAGCTGTTCAGGTGGCTTATCTTCCCTCTGCACCCATGAGATAAGCACATGAAAGAGAGAATAAACCTAAGAATCCTTGCATTGAGGATCACATGTCATGAATTTTATAATATTCTTATAATCTCTACAATCCCTCAGCATTCATCTGTGTAATGAGAAACTAAAGCAAAATAGTTCTTTATGTCAAAGAATGCCTCTATGACCATCCTTTCATACCCTGGTTACATATGAATTGGGAAGGGCAGTGTTTTATATCCCTGAATTCCTTTTGCCATCTCAGAAGGATCTGGGATTTTTCTGTTTTTCTGCTCTGGTGTAATTTGACATGTTGATTATGAGAGGGTCATTAACTTCAACATTTTTGATCACTTTTTGACTCTGTATTTTCTCAACTCTGAAGTCTGTTAATTTGCGCTTGTTTACATGTCTCTGTAAGAGATACTCTGGCCCTTGAGGGCTGGGATATGTTTTGTCTGGAAAGTAGATTGTAAGCCCCTTGAGAGCAAGGACCTTATAATTCCTAGGAATGCATTCTGGACATTGTCAGTGTTCAATTAATGATAGTATTGGAAGCCTGACTAAGGTTACCTGTCACATTGACATTTCCCTTTTCATCTGTAAGGCTTCATGCCTTACAGTTCGGCTGATTCGATAGCATTGATTCTACTCAAAATTACACTATTACCCATTCCAACTTGTTCTTTTGGGTACATTCAAATTATAATTTTTGATTACTTCATACTGCTCTCCTTATAATACCATGGTTACATATGCAATGGGAAAGACTGTATTTCAGAGCCCTCAAGTCCTTTGAATAATGAAAAGTAAGTTGATACCATCTAGGCTTTCAAGGCTTGTGTCTCTTGCCCCCACTGATAATTAGGTGATAAACTACAAGTGTGATTGCTATCTAAAATTTTCAGAAGAAAACCTTCATAACTATTCAACATATATGTTTTATTTATCTAGATTTTAAAATGGAATAAATGTGTAAACTATACCCCATGGCTGTGAAAGTTGAATAGACACGGAGTTTTCAGTGAAGTCTCGGTTCTGAAATAAAAAAGGGCAAATTTGTTCATTGGTGATGGTGAAAGTAGGGGATTTATATTATAAGTCAGGTTTATTAAAAGTAGAATGCATGTGCAGACTGTTTTACCCTTTAAGGTGGACAGTTAAATGTGATGGACAGGTTACATTTCAGTTACTGGATAATTCAATTATCCCTTCAAAACACCCTACTACCAACTGCAAACCCTGACCTCAAACTGATCTTTTCCTGATAATTCATGTCCTTCCTCTTTCCTACAGTGTACTAAAGGAGGTGTACCAGGCCTTCAATCCTAAAGCAGTGGTTTTACAGCTGGGAGCAGATACCATTGCTGGGGATCCAATGTGTTCCTTTAACATGACACCAGTGGGGATCGGCAAGTGTCTGAAGTATGTTCTTCAGTGGCAGTTGGCAACTCTGATTTTAGGAGGAGGTGAGTACGAAGGAAAGGCACCAAGAGAACTTGTCAGTCCTTCCCCCACACTTTCTTGACATAGAAGATAAGTTGAAGTTCCTGGATTGGCTAGTACTAACCTACCTGTAACCCAGAAGCCTAAGTCTAGTTTGTTTCAATTCTGAAATAAAGGTTAAAAGGAAAACATTTGCCTGGCATATGTAAGACCCTTTGTTCAATCCTGAGCACTGAATGGAATATAAGAGATTATCTCAGATTATAATAGAGGATGTCAGCCCCAAAAGACTGTGTGCCCTCTTCTGCTAGAATAGTCATTAATTTTGTTCTTATCATCATGTTTTGGAAACATTCCAATGAAATTCTATCTCTGCTCATAAAGGCATAGTAAATATATGACTTAATTGAATAGCTAAGTTGAATTCAAGATTTACTCATTTCCCCCAAAACATGCCTTTGTTATAATGAAGCAAACTTGAGAGATCCATCGTCTTTTGAGCATTCTTTCTTCCCTCATAGTGATATTTACATTATTTAACTAACAGAACTCTAGGTTTGTTTGACAGAGCATTTGTATGTTTTGGTACCTTGCCCAACCTCAGTCACCTTCATAGGTTCCTTGCTTAGGACCTTCTGTTTCCCTACCAACTACAGTATTTATTTCATTGGATTAATAAATTGGTGTATTAAAATATGGTCAAGTGGCTTGAGATTAAAATGCTCATGTATTTCACCAGGCATGGTGGCACTTGCCTTTAATCCTAGTACTTGGAAAACAGAATCAGGAGGATCAAGAGTTGAGGGCTAGCATGGGCTACACAAGACCCTATCTCAAAAATGAACCAAACGTCCATATATATATAGGCTAGAGAGATGGCTCAGTAGTTATGAACACTTGCCTCTCTCGGCAAAGGACCGAGGTTCAGTTCCCAGCCCCCACAGGACAGCTCACAACCATATGTAACTCCAGCTCTGGGGGACCTAATGCCTGCTTCTGGCCTCTGTGGGTACCTGGCATGGACATGGGTAATACAGACATAAATGGAGCAAAATTATCATACAGATAAAAGTTTTGTAGAAATTTAAATACATACATTAGGAAGAAGGTAATAGTTTGATTTTATCACTCTCTTGCAAAATCCAAGTTCAGGTAAATTCTGGGAAGGCCTTATGTAAAAAAGTGAGCATGTAGCACAAATACACCAACCTAGTCCTTTGGCATCTTTAAATCCCAGAGGGTTCAAAATTGAAACTGCTTACAAGAGACACTATCTTATGAAAAGCTGGCAAGAAAATTTATTAACTTCATCTCCAGAAAAAAAAAAAAGATAAAATTGATAAGCATTGCATGGCATATTGCTTTCCTTAACAACACTAAGGATGGTGATTATGATAGAAGGCCAGCTAGGGGGAAAAGACCTTTCACAACAGACATCTGTGAGAATTTAACTTTTGTCTGAGGCTGCAGCCTTCTCTCAAAGAACCCATTAGCATTAGCTCAAGCCCTTTTGTTTTGTTTTGTTTTTTAACTTAAAGTGTGGCTCTTGAATGTATAAGTATAACTTTTTATGCAATATGTGCATTCCTGAAAGTGTCAATTTTTTCAAGTAAAATATGTGTATACTAGAGATTGCATACTCCTTAAGCAAAACCTATAGTAATTCTTTTTGAAATTAAATAACTAAGCCAAATAACTCTGTCATACAGGCTAATTTTTCATGCTAGGGATGTTTAAAAGTAATACACAAACTGGATAGCTGAAATTCTCTGCTCTTAACACATAGACAATTAGTAGAGGTGGCTACATTCTTAAGCTTCTTCAGAGCAGTCCCACTGAGAACTGAAAGAAACACTCAAGAAACCCTAGCCTCCCTGACCTTTCAAATAATAGGAAAGCTTAAGAAAAGGATGATGGTATGTTCCAGTTTATATATGTTAGCCCAATGTAATGATGAATAGTGTCCTCTATTGCTTTTAAAAGCGTATCATTTTGGATGATAATGTATATGGTCACCCTACCTAAAATAGAGCTGATTTCATTTCCTTTGGTCTGCTCCGAGGTTAGGAAATCATTCCATTTTACCCTTATACTCTTGAAATTTAGCTAAAGGCCAATGTTCGAATGCTTGCATGGCAAAGCACAACCATTCAGCACAAAAATATGCTGATTATTAACCAATGTAATATGGCTGCTGGGTGACTATGACAGGACCTGACGAGATGGGTCAGGGTGTCAATCATCAGTCCCTTCGTCGTCTCACTTTCTTTGATCTCTGCCACCAGGCTTGCATTTTGTGGTGAAAAGGAATGCTGATATTAAATGAAGGAAGTCTGTTTCTGTCAGCACTTTGCTTTTCTTTTTCCTGGATGCCTTTAGGACTAGATCTGCCAATAGCTTTAAAATACAAATCTCAGCCAACAGTCACTTTATAGAATTGTTGCAAAATTCATCTGAGTAACCATCACTTTGGGTGGGTCCCCTCTAGACATCTGGGTTCCAGGGTTCTCAGTTTCACTAATGTCTCCTGATGGAACTGAGGTGCTTGGCTTCCTTGGGTGCATATTTGCTGGAAGAAAAGAGCCTCTTTAAACTGTGTTACCCTTGAAATTCCAAGTTCCACTCTATGCACCATCTGACTGGTCCCCTAAAGTCTGCCCACTAGGTAGTTCACAAATATTATTAAGGAATGTTAAAATAGGATTCTGCAAGTTGAAGTTGTCTTTTTAGCCCTTTTATTAAAACGATTTTCTCTCCTTCCTTACCCCCCCCTCCTGTTGTTTTGTGACTATTCTTTCCTAACTTCACAATTCTTGATGGAGACAGGAGGCTATAACCTTGCCAACACAGCTCGTTGCTGGACATACTTGACCGGGGTCATCCTAGGGAAAACACTATCCTCTGAGATCCCAGATCATGAGGTAAGTAAGGCTCTGACAAGTCCTCTCTTCTTTAAGGGGAAGAGCTGAGTCATTCCACCTAATCAAAATCACGTCCTCACCACTCAATACCATTTTGTTGAGAGACACTTCAGTAACAATGACACACTGTTTTGGCAGAATAGTGGACTCTTGTTCCAAAATAGCCAAGACCTTCTGCCTTTTTTTTTTTTTTAACAAAAGCTCTCAAAGGCCAACCAACTTTAATTTCTCAATTAATTACAGAGACTGTGGGAAGGGGTCACCTGTTCACACAAAGAACTCTTTGGAATATGTGCATATTTTCAGCCCCTCGTCTCAAAAGTGAAGGGGCTAATTTTAAATATATAAGCTACGTTTTGGTTGGTTTTGGGCAAGTTGCCCTAGGTGAGAAGTGACACATATTCATTGCTGGTCATCCTGTTCTCTCAGATGTCTTTGACTACTGTAAATTTCAGAAACCAGAACCGCAAGAAACTCAGGTCTGCTGGGTTTCCAGCAACTTGAGGTACAGAGACTGGGGCTGGACCAACCAGCCTGAAATGTGATCGTTTTAACCCTTGCCATTTTCTCTAGTCATACAAGATGGCCTTAACAAACCAAAGATGTCTGCTTTAGTTTTTCCAAAACAAGTAATAAAAGCTGTCTGGGACCTGTGAGTGTGTTGATAATCACTATTTCAAAGGTATACCCCATCTATTCTCACTTACTTTAACCCCTGTCAGGGAATATGTTATCACAGATGAGAATATAGACACAGACCTTAAACTTAAAATGACAAAGCAGTCCGTGAAGCCCCACCTTCTCCAGCTATTTCCCAAAGATGAGGGATAGTTCTTTGCTTGTAATGTTATGTTATCTGCCAAATGTATTGCTGTGTACTTGAGAACATTATGCTTTGTGGAGTCATCATTAATTTTTTTTTTTAATTAGAAGTAACTTCAACTAATTTGCTTCTAATTTTCTTCAAACCATAGGTGAGGTATAATGCATAACTCAGAGGAACCACTCAATATAGTTAGAATACAGATAGATGGAACGGAATAATTTGAGAAAATTTGCCAGTGTCAGGGTTAATGGAAGTCTTTTCTTGACTTCACTTACCTTTATTCTGTATTTTTTAGCTTAATGAAATATAGGTAAGTGCTGTGAACAAATGTAATTGCTGTTATTGCTGTGGGAATATCTCATATTGCATTGTAATTTAGAGCACTGGGACTCCAAAAACTGATCAAGTTATAGCAGAAAGCAGCCGTAAGCTGTAGTAGTCTAAATTGAGAGTGAGTGTTATATTCCTCAGAAGCAAAAGCAAATCTAATGATTCATCTGTATTAAAAGAGTGATAAAATTTTAATAAATACGGATATTGCCTCTGGTACCTGGAGAAGCTATGTACGTGAACAGATGTGAGTTTAGCCTTATAGATTGCGATGCTCTGTCTTTATATGGACTCATTCTGTAAGATTAAATGAGATGTAATGCATGTCAAGTGCCTGAGACACAGCTTGTGGCACCTAATAGACATTTCCAAAAAGCAAGTTCTTACTTCCCTTTTGCATGTTCCGCGCTTCTTACACCCAGACGTTTATGACTCTGTCATTCATATATTTGTCCAAACCCTTTGTGAATCCCTTCTGTCATATTCTTCTGGTATAAAAGATATGAGTCATCTAAGAAGGAACAAAGAAGAAAATTGAAATGACAGTCTTCAGGTACAATAAGATATTATTTTAATGAAAATTGCCAAAAATAGACCACACAGTATGAAGGCGTATATAAGTTTTGTGTCACAATACACAGTTGCACACAAATATCTTTTTGGCGCTCTGCAATCAGATCAACAAATGGTAGATAAGAAAAAATATTTTCTGTATATTCATTATTTGCTAGGAATTGTACTACTCTCAGTGCCTTAAGGGATGTAAAGGTCAGTAAGACCTTATCCCTATCTTGTGTGGCTAGAAAAGGAAAACGAGCATGGGCAGCTGTGCCAATACAGATAGTGATAATACAGAGCAGAGGAGGAGCTCCAAGACCAGATAGGCATGTTCACACAAACCTATAATCTCAGCAGTCTAACCACTGAAGAAGGACTTGGGTTTGAAGCTAGCTTGGGCTACACAGCAAGTTCCAGGCCAGGCTGGGCCATTTAGGAGACCTTGTCTCAAAAAAAAATTAGGGGCTGGAGAGATAACTCACTGTTTGAGAGCACTGACTGCTCTTGCAGAGGATCCAGGTTCAGTTCCCAGACACCCGCATGGTGGCCTAAAATCGACTATAACTCCAGTTCCTTGTGATCTGATGTATTTTTCCAGCCTCCACAGGTTCCAGACATATCAATGGTGCATAGACACACATGGAAGCAAAATACCCTTATACACATTTTTCCCAAATTAACCAGAAGATAGTCGTAACAGTGACTATGGAGATGTGTATTAACTGTGAAGGGAATACAAAGGAGAGCACAAAACATCCTGCTATCCTAGGAGATGGAAGAACAAAGTCAGAGAATGAGAGCAGAGACAGTGAGGAGATCAGCTGGGCCATAGCACAGTCACAATGTTGACTATTGTAACAGTCAGCTAAGATAATCTTTCTCCTCCTCCTCCAAAGGCCATTTTCCCACTTCTATGCTGTCTTCCTAGGTCTAGCTACAATCCCCATGATTTTCAAAACACGTTAGCTTAAACCAACCAAGCCCTTTTAAGCTGTTTCTTTACTCCTTTATTTATTTAACAGCTATTAATGGGGCTCCTACTACTTGCTAGGACATTTTCAGATCTGGATTCAGATACTCAAACAAGGTAAACCCAATGTCCTCAAAAATACTACCCTCTAATTAAGGCATCAAAGCAGTATGTTCAAATCTAGGACAAGCAGGAGCAAAGGGGGGAACTCTTTCAACAGAACTAAGCTGAGGGTAGTGGTGCATAGTCACCCTAGCAACTCAGCAGGCTGAGGTAGGAGGATCACAAGGTCAAGGACAGCTTGAACTACTTAGATGGCAAGTTCCAGGCAAACCAGTAAGACCCTGAAACTTTGAACTAGATATTCAAGATTGATTGAGAGTTTGCCAAGTGAGGAAGAGAAAGGTCTGTGCAATACACAAAAGGGACAGAAGCTGGAAAGACCAGTAAATGTACAATGTGTGTCATGCAGACTATATTAGAGAGGAGGAACACCTAGAGCTTTAGTAGGAATTGTGACCAGCTATAACCTTGGTGTTTAGAAAGTATTTGGGGCTGGAGAAATAGTTCAGTGGTTTTAAGAGCACTTGCTGTTCTTACAGAGGACCCAGGATTAGTTCCCAGAACCCACATAGTAGCTCACAACTGCTCATAACTCCAGGTCCAGGGAATATGGCACCCTCTTCTGACCTCTGCAAGCACCAGACATGCATATGGTATTTATACAGTACATACATGCAGGCAAAAACACACATATACATAAGGTAAATAAATCTAATTCTTTTTAAGTGAGAAAGCTTTTTTTTTTCTTAGAAAGTAAAAGACAGATTGCTATGGGAGTAAACTTGTCATACAACCAAGATAAAAGGTTTAGGCGTACTCCTAGAACATTGAATCAAAATGTTTGCGAGCAAAAGCATTGCAGATTTGAGAATTTTGGATTTTGTTTTGAGGTTTTAAGATTTTTTTTTTTATAACAACTGTGTATAAATAAATAATGAGATTTCTTGGGATGGAACAGGGATCTAAACACAATTCATTTGTTTCAACACTTCCTTCTATATATAGTGTGAAGAAAACTTTACAGAATATTTTAGTTGTTTTGCATTAAACAACGAAGGTGTGGTCATTGCTACTTCTAGTATAAGATTAACAGTAAAATATTTTAGACTTTGGAGCATTTTGGTTTTTGATTGAAGAGTCTCAAATCTGTACCATTCTGCTGGTCACCTGTGTTTGGTTGTCTGTTTTAGCTTCCTGTTTTAAGCACAATGTAAGCACCCATCTAGCTGACATTCCTTCATTGAATAAACAACTAAGCAAGCAGGTATTTGAATATGTGTAAGCATTCACATAGAGAGATTTCTGTGTTGAAGGTGGGAGAAATGGAAATGTAATATAGTCTTTCTGAAAACATAAGTCAACCCTAGTACCAACTTCCTATCCTTTTCAAAAAGCGCTATGTATCCAAACCATTGGAAACTCATCTATCCCAAGGAATATTCTCCATTGCTGTGCAGGGAAAGGATCTAAAAAGGCAAGCCCAACATAGATTCTACAATATTTAGGGCAGCTCTTTGAGAACAACCTCATGAGATACAAAACAGGTGATAACATAAAACCAGGAATCAGGGAGTTGATTTCAGCCTATGAATTGGGAAGAGAGGTTAGACAGGCAATCATGGAATAAATAACCATCACAAATGGGGAACATGGAGAGAATTGGAACATGCACGTATGATTGGGCCCAGAAACGACCATGGGGAAAGTCCAAACGTGACATAAACCCATAAAAAGGCCAGTGCATTGGTAGCACTATTATATGGAAAAATAGTATGTAATCTAGTTTTACTATTTAGATCTCATGATCTGTGTTTAAGTAAAGCAGTTTCGTGTACAGGTTGAATATTTATAATTCAAAAATCTGAAATAACTTTCTAAATTTATTTTATGTGCATTAGTATGAAGGTGTCAGATCCCTTGTAATCAGCATTACAGACAGTTGTGAGCTGCCATGTGGTTGCTGGGAATTGAACCTGGGTCTTTTGGAAAAGCATATTCATTGCTCTTAACCACTGAGCCATCTCTCTAGCCCCCTGAAATAACTTTTGAGTCCCAGGTTAACAAAAATAATCATCAGATTTACTAACAACAAAAAAATAAATACTCTACTTCACCAGACTGCTTTTGATAAAATAATTAGGAAACTCTTTCATTTATATTAAGAAATATGTGTAGCCATTAAAATAAACTACATAGTTTTATATACAAATTGATGACACAAATCTAAAAGTCTTGATATAATCCACTGAATTT